TTATAGATAGTTACCTATAATAGTCAAAACTTATAGTTAGGTTAGTTAGGTTTTCTAGATATATAGAGATATGTTTCAACTGGATAGGCATGATTCAAACCTTTCAAAGACCTACAGAATATGGCATTTAAAATGGTTTAGGGTTTTTCTTGACAATGAGACAACTGCTCCTGTCAACACCAACTGCACCAGAAGGGAATATAGACATCGAAGAAACTCATTACGGAGTTTGCTTTCAATATGACAAGACTAGCCATTTGGGCAAGAAATTGCTCTTGCCTGGACTGTTTGACTTTATGCCTTATAAAATGGACATGCAAAACCCACAGGAAAGTGACTGCTGAAACAAGATGGGCATGGCTGCAGGGTTCCTGATTCATGGAAGAGCCTGCCAGACATCCTACAGGACACAAAGAAAATTGACTGACAAACTGCTAATATAGACAGACAATTTAAAGTTTCCTGCTTTGCTGAGGAGTCTGCCAGACACACTATAGCCTTTGGGCTGAAGATGGAACATTATAGAAGAACTTTGGGTGACTGACCAGGCAGTGAGTTGTCTGTCATTTCTAAAGTTTATATACTATCCTTCTATGGTTTTTGATGGAGTTGAAGACAGATAGTTATAGTTACAGTTTTCCTTAGTTAGGATTAAAGATAAGTTACATATAAAACTTAAGACTCACAAAGATAGGATAGATGATGGAATATTTTCTTTAAATCTTGCTAAATGTTAATGCACTAAATATTGTTAACTATGGTTCTTATTTGATAACTGTTTTGTTATATGTAATTTTACTATGTTAAAGTTAAAACCCTTCTTTTTAGTTAGATTTAAAAAAAACGAGCAGATGATGGGGAATGGTCTTCTGTATATGTTTATCTTATTGGTTGATGAATAAAACACTGTGATCTATAGGGCAGCACAATAGGTGGGTCTAGGAGAAAGGAGGATTCTGGGAAATGTAGGCAGAGGGAGCCACAATGTAGACTGCAATGGAGTAAGAGGCTTGAACCGTTTCTCCTGTAAGATAAGACCACATGGAAGTGCTGACATTGATAGGAATGGATTAGAAATTAAGTCAGAGCTAGCCAATAAGAAGCCCTAGACATTGGTCAACAGCATTGTAATTAATATAGTATATCATGTATTATTTGAGGGCTCTGAGGCAGCTGCGGAACTGGGCGGGAACACCATAACAAAACGGGTTGGGGAAAGCAACAGGTGAGTGGACTAGCACTATTAACCACTCTCTGATGCCTGGCTGTGGATAAAATATGAGCTGCTGCCTGAAGGTCCTGCTGTATAACATCGCCCCCTTGAACTGAAAGGCAGAATAAAATCCAAGTTGCTTTTGTTAGGTATTTTATGTATATAAATAATAACTAATGTATTATGGGTGTTCATTCACCTTCAGACTGAATCTGTGCATCCTAACTCACACCTTGCTAATGTTACCCTACCAAACACTTTTCTCCATTTTCTAAAGACGCCCATATTCCTATCCAGGTGAAGTTTATAAGCATTCCCATTCAGAAAACACTACTAGCAGTCTTGTTAGAGCCTGGTGTCTCTAACAAGAGAAAGAAAAAGAAAAAGAAAACAGATGCTTCGATATACTGACACTACAACTCACTCTCACAAGTATGAGCTGTGTGAGACAAGTGTAGCAATACTGAGTGAAGCTAATGACACCCGTATTGCCTAATACAAATGAATATTTAAAATGAAGGTAATAGGCCCCAGTATTGATCTCATAACTCAACACTGTGAGAAATCATCATGAAGAATCCACAGGTCTAGTTTTTTCCTAATATAATAATCAGTGTGCATTTAGTGAGAGACAACTATGAACTACTGTATGGCATACCTGAAGCTTTTAATATCACCAAGATAACAACCTATGTGAGTATAAAATAACTGCTTCAGGCAGAGGCAGGTGGATCTCTGAGTGTTTGAGGCCAACAGGTTCTATACAGCAAGTTCCAGACAGGCCTATGTAGAGAGACCCTGTCTCAAACACAGCAAGAGCAAAACAGCTTCAGTCCAGCAAAACTTTATAAATATGATAGTTAAACATGAGATCTCAGTTAAATATAATAATTGCACTTACTAAAAAGTCTAGACTGACCTTTGGGAATATTACCACCCCACTCCTAGTAACAGAAATCCAGATCTTTGCCATCAGAATTTCTAAGTAATTAAAGTTTTTCACCCTTACATGGATTTTGGTGTGTGGCAACTAGCCTGAATGCTTTTTGTTAGAATCTCACAGTTTCTATTTCACTAAAGGCCAAACACAAGTATTGGGTGTGGTAACTCAAACCTGTAAGCCCAGCCTTTGGGAAGCTGAGATAGGAGGATGAAGAGTTGGGGCCAGTCTGGGTCTCCAAGGGGCCATTTCTTAAAACAAAAGAAACTAGAACTCTCTCCAGCTGTGCTATGTCTTTTATAAGTGTTTCAACAGAACAAGTAAAAGGATGAACTGTGTCAGGGCAGACAACAGAGAGTATTTGCAAACTCCATGGGCAGCTCTGATGGATGCAGGCACCACATTCTCTAGAGCCATTTACTGTCTTGTTCTTCTTTATTGAAAAGGGAAGGAAAAAGATACTAGACATCACCCATTAAGGAAGTAGATGCTTTTCCAGTTTGTTTTGTTCAAGAGGGAAAGGAAGCATAGGATGCAATAAAACTCTTAATAAAGTCATGACCTTGTCTGGAGGAGGAACTATGTAATTTTATAGGATCCAATGACGTTTGCAGTTAATTTAAAAGATACTGTAATATGGATGGGGG